TACAATCCGGGACTGAAAGTGTGTGTAGGCAAGTTGACTTTTATTAACAAATATACAATACACCATGTCGTATTACCTAAGTTATGAAGAAAACAGAAAAAAGTATCTGCACCATGTGGAAGAAAAATACTGTTGGGAAAAAAGAAAGTCGAATTTGTTCAATTGACTGAAAAATGCTTTGATCTCAGGGGCGCACCCAGGAATATATTTTGGGAGGGGTTTATACTTCTATAGATATATCACCAGAAAATACTGAAAATTCGCTTCAGATAATATGCTCTTAAAATACATTTATGCCAGTTTTATGTACAGTATGTAATAAATAAATACAATTTTTAAAGTTTCATAAATTTATGTACTTAAAATTAACAAAGAACTCAAAAATTTTTAACCGACTTCAAAAAAGCGGGAGGTTATCAATTGGTAGGACTTTTTTTTATTTTATATATGCTATCGCATAACTTTGGAACACGTGAACTGATTTCTATAATTCTTTTTTTGATCGGAAAGATGGCACCTCGCGGGTCGTCCCGTAGTTTGGTTTATATCCGATCATTGGATAATGAAAAAATTAACGGTACTCTTAAATTTGTATATGAGAATTGAAGTCGGATGTGTTTTTTGCTTAAAAATTACTTGTTTAATAAAAAGTTCTTTAAACACAAGATGCGCTCCACTTTCAAAAGTAATAAAAAATGTTAAATAAAATAATGTAAAAAAAAAATATTTTTTTTAAGAAGATTTTATTTAACATGTATGTACAATCAAAAGAATAAAGTAAAATAGTGTAACAAAAGATTTTTTAGCAAGAAAATTTTGTTAAAACTGCACCAAAATGAATAAAATATATTAAGTTAAGCTTTCATTAGAGCTTTCCTTTCACTATTTGGCTTTTAGTAATTTTAACGAAAGCTTTACTTATTTAGTTTTATTCATTTTATATAGGTTTAACAAATTCGACTTACTTTTTTCCCAACAGTATTTTTCTTCCACATGGTGCATATACTTATTTTCTGTTTTCTTCTTGACTTTGGTAATACGACATGGTGTATTATATATTTGTAAATAAAACTCAACTTGCCTACACACACTTCCGGTCCCGGAATGTATTATACAATTACTTATTAAATCAGAACGTATTGAAACGCTAACAATATTTATTAAAAATAAATCAAAACAAGAAATACAATATTAACGAATTTTCTGCAAAAGAATTATGTGGTAACGAGCCAAGGGCTGTTCAGATAGTTACTTATAACTGTTATCTTAATTATATTCCACGAATTAAAAAAAATATGAGAACAAAAGTATGTTCTGAAATTTTTATAATTTTGCAATTCTTGAATGTCAATATTTCGCAAAAAAAGGCTGATACGATTTTGGTGAAATTGGATTTTGGTTACGTAGGTGATAACGAACAAAGTAGCATTTTCAATTTTTGTCGTACGTTTTAGTGAACTTTTAACTAATTCAGGAACAGTTTGTGTTGTTCAACTTATTTCTTTTTATTTTTTATAAAAATATTTTTCATGCTTTAGCCAAAACCATAAAATTAATTCAAATTTTCAAACTTAATACAAACTCTAGAAAGATGCAACAAATTTCCACAAAGTTGTTGGACTTTTTAATCTGAATTCTTGGATATACAGTTACATGGCTCATGAAAATTCAGTAAAAATAAGAGCAAGTTTTACGCAGCCAAAATCGTTTAGATTTCTGATACTTTTTCCATACAAAGATGAATTTTAAGAAAATGCGCAAGACCGTTTGCAAAAAAAATTTAAAAAAATCAACGCCAGATTTTTATAAATTGCATTTATGTAAAAAACCGCTGTTTAAAACCAGCACTCATTTTACTAAAATTTCATGAGGCATGTAACTACATTTCCAAGAATTCGGATTAAAAAGTTCAAAATTTTGATGGAAATTTGTTGATTTTTTCTAAAATTTGGATTAAGTTATTATATATTTGAAAAAATCACTATCACCAGTTTTGATCGCCAGTATATGTACATAAAAAATATACATATACATAGGTATTTAGCCTTAAATATGGCATAAGAATATATTCAAATAAAAATTATACACCCAGGAGTTCGTTCTCCGGGAATTTTTTCCTCACAGGGAGTACCATTTTCCCCAAAAATTTGAGAGGAGAAAATTCGAAATTCGTAAGAGCTGTTTGACACTTTTTTGACAGCTCAACTGTGCCATTTAAAATAAAAAATCCTCAAAGAATGTTTATTCATGATAGGAGGAAAGGGAAAAGAGAGAAAACTCCCAGGGACTTTCTGTTCAGAACCGGCCTGATACTTTCCGTTCAACTTTGATTCAACTAATCGCCTGTGAAAGTTAAACAATATAAACACGCTTTAAGCGAAAAGTGAACGATTTCGGGCAAAAATGGGGGACCTACGCAACCTTCCGTAGCAAGGGGTACAAAAAGTTAAAATGGCGTATGTCCCCCAATTGGGTACGTCTGGCAACCCTAATTTTAACTGAGACTTAAGTGTCATCAATTATATTAATGTATATGAAGGTAATAATGTACAAATTTATATTATACCAAGTGTTAGTACTAGAACAAGAATTACAAATGACGTGTACTTTGTAGTTAATCTTAGACTGCAATTTCAAAATAGGTGAATTGATAAATTGACCAAATGCATGAAATGTGTCTCTAAGGGCCAATTTCACAGTGCGTAGTTAACTCAGAATCGACAGTTAACTAGAGATTTTCAGTACAAAATTCTGTAGTTAACTCCCGATTCTGAGTTAACTACGCATAGTGAAATTGGCCCTAAGTAAAACTTATTAGTACGTTTCAAAGTTAAAACTGATGTGAGAGTGGACAGAGGGTAGTGACTTTAAGGACCGTGTTAGATAGAACTTTGTGATTTTGGGTGACATTTTTAATTTTGCCAGAAAATAGTAAAATGTGTTTCCAACACTTCCACATTGTTTGTTTATTCGTGGATGGGAGCTTGCCTTATTTCGCTTTACATACGTTGTTATTTTATTGTGATTTATTTTATTTTGATTTAGAATTAGTAAACCAATACATAAAAAAAAAAACAAAAACCAAAGGCAACACTAACTATGAATGCGTCGGAATTGCTGATAGCATTTCTCCCGAATTCGTGACGGGAGATTTATTCACGACGGGAGTTCACTCGGAATCTGTGATAGGCCTGTCTTGGTGCATATGGGCAAATCTAAAAAATAGGTAACAGGTGTTTAAATTAAAAAAAAAACTTAAATCAAGTGAATTTTTTATGTAATTTTTAAGAGGGGAACAATCAATCATGTCATAACTTTTGAAGCACACCATATTCTGATTTTAAATTGAATGGGCATTTAGCACTTATGTGTACACTTTATTTGTAGTAAGTAAGAAAAGTGTGCATTCAAAAATAACGAAATGGCAAGTAACTCAAAGTCTGTAACTCCACATTTCACAATTTTCAAAATTTCCGGTTTATCGCGTATAGTTTTTGAAGCATTTAATTTTAAGAACTTTTTAAGAATGTATTGTATTCTACAAACAATTACCAATAATTTGATACCTTTGCAAGAGGTGTGCTTTCAGAATAAACCAACTTTTAAAGATAAAACATTCTGCGATCTTGAGCGTAATTTTTATTCCAAAAACATCTTAATTGAAGGCACATTTGGAAAATTCGTCGAAGCGATCTAAATATTCCTATAACTACTAGTCCTTATAACGTTGCATATACCTGTAAAATGCTTCAAAAAAATGTTTTCTAGAAGTGTGTAAAAACCCCGATTTAGTACTTTTAATTATGCCCCTTCTTGTAGTCAGAATATTTCGAGCGTGGTATCAAATCAAACTTTTTTCGACAAAGGTTCTGATAGTTGCTCTTACTTAATAGGAGCCTTCCAAATTCAATGGCATCCCCAGTTTTGCCCGATTAGTTCCACTTTTGGAGATAACGGTACTTAAAACTTTGCTTACATTTTAACTATTATATAAAAAAAAACTCCCTCAGTTTTGAAGATATTTTACTAAAATTTTGCGCACGCTTGTATTTTAATATTTCCTTCACTATTTCTTAAAATCATCGAAATCAGTTCACTCTAACATCTAGCTCCCATACAACTCCCAAAAACACATATCTGAGTAATCAGTTGTATTGGAGCTATATGTTAAAGTGAACCTATTTCGATAATTTTAATGAATAATTAAGGTAATATTAAAAAACCGTTATGTGCAAAATTTTAGTAAAATAACATTCAAGAATTTTTATTGAGCTCGAGGCCGTTTTTTAATGAAAATTTATTGTGGAAAAGCAACAATAATTTGAAAAAATGGTAGAAGTGATAGCTATTTCGGATATCACCACATTTCGTCATCAGACTTCTTCCTCGAGCTCAATAAGAATTGTTGAATATAATTGTTATAAGGCCAAAAAAATACAAAAACAAATTAGTAAAATAACTTCAAAGCTGAGGGAGTTATTTATAAAATAGTTAAAATTTAATCAAATTTTCAATTACCGTTATCTCGAAAACCGGAGCCAATCTGGTAAAACGGGGTATGCCATTGAATTTAGAATATATCAATTAAGAGGGCTCAACTTTCAAAATCTTTCCTCAAAATATACAACCTGAACAGCGTAATGTAAACCCAGCTTATTCTTTTGTTTTCTATTTCATGTTTATTCTAACTTTTGAAGCACTTGATGAAAATAAATTACACTTATATTAATTGATTTATTAAGAGATTACGAATAAAATGATATATAAAAGATAGGTGTGCTCACAAATTTAAAAATAAATTTTTTTTTTTTGGAAAGTGTACCTATTTTTTAGATTTGCCCATATTCGTATATTTCATATTAGCTGTCAAAGCGAGTTTGTTACGTAATGTGAAGAAGAGGTTTTATCTGACATTGCCTTAAGTCCTCGATCTATTTTTAACAGTACATATTAAATTTTAAATAATTACAAATATTTTGCATTTCTTTCTACAAATACAGAGGAAAGGGATATATCTCTAGATGAAATATACGATGACAACGAAAAGCCTAAACACCATCACCAAAGTAAGTGACGTTAAAAACATTTAATTAAAATATATGTATGTATATTATTTAAAGCTCACCACAAATCACAATTATAAATATTTAATTGCAAATGCTATTGAAGATGTGAGAATGAATAGTAACCCTATTTGTTCCCATAATGAATCAGTTTGTCCAGATATTTTAGCAAGGGATATTAAAGCCATTCGTAACAACCAAAAATATCATTGTCTTATTTAGAGTATTCAGCATATTGTATTCAATTGTGGATATAATTTAGCAAAACTCAAAGAAAAGTCACATGGAATTCACCGAGGTATAGATTAAAATTCGTTTAATGGTGAGTCAAAATTAACATCCAGATTGGGATGAATATTGAAAAAAGCTAGCCCACTGTGTGATCGTTCTCTGCCCATGCCTGCACATTAGACTGCGCCTTAGGTGTATGGAGAATTTTTTTTGTTAAACAACAAAGCAATACTCCCCCTAGAAATGTTCCTTTGTTCATAAAAACGTGCGTTTTTATGCAAATTTTCACAAAGTGGTCAATATTGCCTATAAGTCAGTGAGAAATTTAATATATTTTAATGACACTTGATGTAGTTTTGCCGCCCGAAGTCAAATATGGCTAACCTATTTTTAAACCTCCCCAACTTTTAAAGCTATTTAGTTTTTTCCACGTAAAATTAAAATTTTCTAGGAATTCAGAAGTTAAATTTTAGCCAAATAAATTTAGATCAAATTGGTACGAAGAAAAAAATTTGTAGTAGCGAACTCTTGATGCAGTTTACTTTTATTAGATACGTAGATCATGGATCCACAGTCTCACCCCTAAATTTCATACCGGAACATTCCGCCATCTTGGATGTTAGGTTTTTTGCGTTTTTGCGATTTTCAAGCTTATTTTGCATTTTTCGTGAAAAACGGTTGCTCACAAATTTGTAGAGAATTTAATTATCAACATTTTTGTAAATAATTGCTGAAAGTGCGAAAAATTTTTGCATTATCACGGTTTTCGCCATTTTTCAACAATTTCTGATAAAAATGCGTAGCACATTCAATTGCCAAAGTTGTAGGTAACTTTTCTCTTTTAGTGTTCTCCGATGGCACAAAATTTGTAAATCAAAATCTAATTTACGGTTAGTTTAGATGCTATATCTGAGACGCCATGTTTAATAATAAAAAACTCAATAACTTTAAAAGATGGGGAGGTTTAAAAATAGGTTAGCCATATTTGACATCGGGGAACAAAACTACATTAAGTGTCATTAAAATATATTAAATTTCCCACTGACTTATAGGCAAAATATTGACCGCTTTGTGAAAAATTCCATGAATTTGCTGAACTTTAAGGTGTTTCCGTTATCCGATTTTTTAAATTTTTCGCAGGTCAAGTTTTTATGAACAAATGAACCTTTCTGGGGAAGTATTGCTTTGTAGGACAAAGTTGCAAAATAAGGCGCAGTCTACTGCACATGAATGATGATATTCATTGAATTATTTTGAAAAACTATAAGTAAATAGAGGAGCGAAGGATGTTATAGATCACATAAGGAAAGTGTCAAACAATCGCGGTTTTTGCAATATAATTTTTCTTCAGCTGGAAACTAAGCTTAAAAATCGGAAAATTTGGATATTAAAATTCCCCATTTTTTAATATAAAACAATATTTTAATAAAAAACAATATTTTAATGTGTACATTGTGAACAAAAATTTCTCCATTTTTTGTTCCAAATTTTCACTTACAGCCCCTTTTTAAACACTATCTTTTAATCTACTTCGCCAGCGGTGTTTTTTTTATAAAAACTATATTTTAATCCAGACATGGGCAATTTTGCCCGCATGGGCTTTTTTGCCCACTGCACACGCATTCTGGAGTAAAAAGGCCCACTCTCCCAAACGTACGCCACATACACTCCTCGTGATTTGAATAGCTCAACTTTTTAATCCTTGGTATTTACATTTTTATTTTGTTTATTTAATATTCATTACATCCGATTTTAAAACTTTATACAGAGTTAAAAAAATGTCAACAAAGGGGTACAATAAAGTTCAAGTTTCAAGTGTCTAAAATAGCGGTGATTTTTGAAAATGTTTTTGGTGATGGTGCTACGCATTTTCTCTCATGCAAAGTATGCTCGACAAAAATTTGTATATGGAATAAAATGCGCAGCACCGTCAATAAAAACAAATTCAAAAATTCGAGGCTATTTTAGAGACACTTGAAACTTGCACTTTATTACACTATAATTGAATGGGCTACAACACTGCATATCAGAAATTTTTCTAAAAATATTACTAACTTATTCACTGCAGGTCATTAGGATAGCACACTCCTATGTTGACCTTTTTTAAGAACTGTTTCCAGCTCTCAAGAAAACGAAAAATCATATAAAATGCTGCCCAGGAAATGGAAAAGAAATTTTCTTTTAAGTTTTAATTTGTAAAAAATTTTAAAATTGCATTTACCCGTAGAATATGCTATATTTTTACAAAAAATTTATATTAAATAAAAAAAGGAAAACTGTAAATACTATGGATTGCAAGGAGTGTATATGAGCAGACGTGATCACTACCACAAGTAAACGCGAGCTGAAAGTGTGATTGTGTTAGTGTGCCAATTACGTTTTAATCACGATTGAGAGAAATAGAGATCGCGCCAATCGCGGTACCGCTAATCCGTTCTTTGTGATTTTGACAGAATCAGCTGTGTGCGTGACGTCATCTTGGTGCAATTGTTGATTGTGAGCATACGAAAAAACCAAATAACAATTTTAATATTTGTGCGTTAATATTTGTGCGTGGTTTTAAACAATCATTGAGACATTACCAAGCAAAATGAAGTGTGCCGTGGCAAAGTGTAATAGTGAAAACAAAAGGAAAGCGTGCGATATAAGTTGTTTTCGTTTCCTACGGACGCAAACNTAACAATTTTAATATTTGTGCGTTAATATTTGTGCGTGGTTTTAAACAATCATTGAGACATTACCAAGCAAAATGAAGTGTGCCGTGGCAAAGTGTAATAGTGAAAACAAAAGGAAAGCGTGCGATATAAGTTGTTTTCGTTTCCTACGGACGCAAACCATGGCGAAAAAGTGGAAGCAGTTCTGCCGGCGAGGAGATGCATTAAACACCAAATCGAGCTTTGTGCTATGTGTGTGAGCTATGAGCTTCTACATGGAACTATGTTGGCCTTTTCTTGGTGAATTGTAGTATGTATATTTCCATGGTGAATGTAGACAGTTGCTGGTTTAGTTTGCTGGCAATGGCATACATACAAAAGCAGTTTCTACAGTAAATAGATACATGAACTTCACTACCTACTTATTTTTGTTAGTACCTGATTCTTTTTAGTGCTGGTATGAGGTAATGCACCAGTGGATAAGGTCGCCAGGCGCTAATTCAAGCGGGATCTTATCGCGCTGTTACGTACCTAAGACAAAACAGTGCCCAAATTATTATACATTTAAAAGTTCAGCTTAAATTATGTTTTACTTACATAGAATATTTGTTTCCAAAGAAGCCACACTCACGCATCCTCTCGGAAATGGTACAAAAGGCATCAAATAAAAGCTGTGGAGTCAACAGCTGTGGAGTTTATGGTGGTTGGCTACCGTCCACAAATATAAATATGCACTCTGCATGGCTTTTTACAATGGCGAGTCCAAAAATTCACTTTGCTGCACACCTTCCTTTTGGTCTACATGAAATTGCAAACACTGTTAATACATCCATTTTTTCATGTGCTAAAAATCGTACTTACCTAAAGCGCTACATGTCCAAAATTATTGCTACGTGTTCCTAATTAATGAATCTTTGCATATTTATTGTTTTCTGGAAAATTGGGCCATGTAATATTAAAATTAACAAAATTTTCTGCATTGTTTACATATTTTTATATGCGTTTTGGCATTTCTCTCTCGCAATTGCACCAAGATGACGTCACGCAAAAATTACGCTCAAAAACCTTGCGTACACTTTGTTACGCTCTCGCATGTATACGCATGTAATGCTTAAACTGGCTACACACGATAGGGCTGCCAGACGTCCCGGTTTTCCCGGACATGTCCCGGTTTTAGACTATTTGTCCCGGTGTCCCGGTCCAACCTTAAAATGTCCCGGGTTTCGTTTAAGTGTCCCGGTTTTCGATTTGATTGTACAAAAAAATCACTAAACTAAGAGAATAAACGCGTTGTGATATTCGGAAAATTTTATGAATTCACTGAGGGAAATAACGCACGGTAAAAATGAATATTTTTTATTTGATTATCGTTTTAAAATATTCGTATTTTAAAATAATATTTTCATACCCCGCACGCGTGGTGTTAATTCAAACTCAACATTTGAATGCATATTTACATACATGTCTGTGTGTGAAGATGTTTGCCACAATTTTCTATTTTCCAGAGGGTCAGGGTCAAATCCCATTACAGGCAGCATGGAATTTAAATATTTTCTTAACTTAATTAGGGAAAAACAATCGGTAAGTGCAAAGCGCTTCATTTTAATATGGGCGTATTTGAATTGAATATTTCTATACTAAATTTGTTATACTTAAATGAATTACGAGTTGGGTTGGTGCTCTTTCATATGCGCATTTTTTTAAATTTAGCACGCTTTCTTAATTGTAAACATCGTCCGGACTTTGCTCCGATCGGGTAGATTTACTCCGATTTCTTTTTTAAATTTAAAATCTACTCCCTACTCCACTTGGCCCGAAATATGCTCCGATTTATTTTACTTTTTTCCATTCACATTAGGAATATATTAAATACAAAATAATTAACTTTTAAAATTTTTGTCCAATCACTTTTGTGGCACCAAGATTTTGTATAGAAAGGTGTGGCAGAAGTTATCTCTTTTACTCTTTAACCCTTTTTTTGCGGAATCACTTTTTTATTTTCCAAAGCAAGGGATTGATTAAGGACCAGAAAAATGTTTTGTGTATGTGTGTATGTTTAGCAATTTGGCAGAGTATAAGCTGACATTAGCTATTTTACCACACAGTAGTGCTGCTGCCGAAAGAAAATTTTCGGAGATGAATCTCATTAAAAATAAATACAGGAACAGGCTTAATGTCGAATCAGTTGAAAGCTTAATGTTCGCAAGAACTCTTATTAACAAAAGGTCAGAAATTTATACGCCGTCCGATAACACAGGTCTGCAAAAAAATGGGTTCGGAATGTTCTATAAAAGTGTAGTGTCATTTCCGAAGTAATTTTTTGCGTAGAATCCGAATCCGGGGTTTAAATTGCTCTATCACGTCAGGACATTGAGATATCCTAACCTAAAAGTGCAAAAAACGCTGTTTTTGCCCATTTTTGAGGTTATGTAGCTACGAAGATTTTGCTCTTCATAAAAAAGTAGACGTGGTATTTTAAAGTATAA